AGTGGAAGAAATGGTTTTAGAACCTCTATATCTCACAGGAAAGCTCAGATATATTATACAGATGTTTGGTAGTATAGTAAGTGCTTGTTGACTGCAAATTCATTTGTCTTTCGTTGCAAACTTTTCTGAACAATTTATATTCTCAATGAACATGTTTTTTTCGCTGTTGCATGTTTCGGTATTAATTCTTTAAAAAACTTGTATTTAAACTAATTTCTATGTAATAAATGTATTTTGCTAACCTGTCAAATTTTTTTGAGAGTTTTTCCTTGTATATACTATTATCTTTCTCAAAGCGAATATTTTCATGTAGTTTTGGACCGCCATCTTGTTTTTCGCTAGTCGGCGTATGTATGAGCTAGCTGATATACGGCGAGTAATTCGACCAATCAGATTGCAGAACAGCTCATATACGGTGAATGACTATATATATATATATATATATATATATATATATATATATATATATATATATATATATATATATATATATATATATATATATATATATATATATATATATAAAGCTTCAAATTGAAAATAAATTTTATTAAACTTCAAATAAATAAATACATATTGTAAAGATACGTTTCGGGGCACAGCCCCTTCGTCAGAAACGAAATAAGTTCAAATCCATGTCCTTAAATACTTTCGGCCCAATCCTAATTAACATACACTAATAATATATATAGACTTGCATTAATATTCCTCCCTCAAATTTAATCCCAGTGGTACATATGTATTCAATTTTTCAATCCAAAAACTTTCCCTCTCTGTAGGTTTATTAACATCCGTGGTATCAATAATCTGTGCTTTAAAATCATTAAGACCCGAATGGCCCTCCTCAAAAAAATGTTCATACAAATGTTGACCACATAAACCTCTTTGGCCCTTAGAAAATCTATTAAGCGAACACTTGTGGTTATTAAATCTAAGACGAAATGACGTTACCGTATTGCCCACGTATTGTTCATTACATTTTCCGCAAGTAATTCAATACACCACCCCCTGAGAGTTACAATCAAAGTGATGGTTAATGTGAAACGTGCGCCGTTGTACTGTACTTTGAAAAGTATCCCGGCCGCTACCACGATGGAATCACAAACCTTGCACTTTTTCCCCCCACATTTAACCATCCCTCTAGCTGCAACCTCAAGCTTATGCAATTTAGCCCGAACAAGATGGTCTTTAAGGTTTTTGGATCTCCTAAAACACACATATATACATAGGCGAATGTCAATAAGTATATTGAGTGTCGAATCATACGAATAGAGTGCTCGATACGAAAGTAGAGCAAGTTTGTCTTTTTCTGGGGTTTTTTCTTTATATATATATATATATATATATATATATATATATATATATATATATATATATATATATATATATATATATATATATATATATATATATATATATATATATTTTGAAAATTTCAGTTTTGTTAGGTTCACCTGTAGGTGAATATAATAATAATAATAATAATAATGACTTTATTTAAACTGGAGAAAAAAGACCGATCAGCATATTTACAAGAAATAGCTGGTATTAACCGGTGACCAGCATCGTAAAGGATTTCTATGGTAAAAAAAACCCCACAGATTACTATTTTACACTACATTACTATTTTACACTACATATATGTTCTTTTTTGTCCATATTTAATAAATACTTAAATACTTTAGTTTTAAAGTTTGATAAAGATTGTACTCTACGCAGTTCTTGAGGTAGCTCATTCCAATCTTTAGAAGCAGCACACTTAAACGACGATTGTCCCATTTTCGTTTTTGTTTTGATAACATGCAATAGTATATTGTCTCTCAAGGATCTACTATGCATTTCAGATCTTCTAACCAAATAACCTTGTAATTGGCGAGGACAGTTAATGTTATACACGATCTTGTAAACAAGTTGAAGTAGTAAAAAACGTCTTCTGCTCTCGAGTGAAAGTAAATTCAGCTTGCTACGCATTTCCTGTGAGCAAGTTTTGCGATTTCCATTAAGGATTATTCTCATAGCTTTATTTTGAAGACGCTCCAGTCGTTTTGCATTACCTCATCCATAATCAAAAATGGGCAGAATTGTTTGCTTATATATCCTCAGTATAGGACGCTACGACTTAGGAATTTCGAAACTCGGTTTAGCATTGTTAGTTTATGGCAGACTCTACCGGTTATGTAGTTCACTTGTTTATTCCACTTCAATAAATGGTCCATATACACACCGAGATGCTTGAAAAATCTAGATTGTTTTAAAATTTTTCCTGAAAGAGTGATTTGTAAGTCCCGTGCGTTCGATATTGCATATCTGGATCCTATTAACATTACTTCTGACTTTTTATGATTGCTAATTAATCCATTGCGACTTAACCAGTCATCAACTTGGGTTAGATCCTCATTTACACAGCGTTCTGCAATGCCAATATCTTTCGAACTAGAATGAATCTCCGTATCGTCAGCATACAAAAAAGTATTACTATTTTCACAAACATCCGATATTCCATTTATATACACATTGAATAACGTCGGTCCCAGAACTGATCCTTGTGGGACTCCATAGCTTATACTTCTCTTATCGGATTGCACATCCTGATAAGAAACAAACTGAGATCTACCTGAGAGATAGTTGGCGAACCAATCATACTCTCTGTCTTTCACACCATATTTTATAAGCTTATTTAGGAGAACCTTATGGTTTATAGTGTCAAACGCTTTCCTAAGGTCCAGAAATGCACAGACTACCTTCTCTCCTTTGTCAATGGCTAATTTCCATGAGTCAACTACCATGATAAGCGCAACTGTTGTGGACGAGTTTTTTGCATAGGCATATTGGTTTGGTTTAATTAAGCCATTATCCCACAGCTTAATACGTCAAACTTGACCAATCGACTTGTAGGATTTGTTATGTTCACTTGTGCAAAAATACTAAGCTGTTAGCTATATTCACCTACAGGTGAATATATAACAAAACAGAAATATTCAAAATGGCGGCTACCCGTTTTGTGGAAGTTTACTGACAAAGAAATAAGCGAAATTAAAATAAATTCAGTCTCAAAAAACACAAAAGCTTGTGTAAAAATACTAAAACATTATTCGCCTCAGGCTCGGTGATTATCGGGGAATATTCACCTCGATTTCGTCTCGGCGAATATTCCCCGATAATCACCTCGCCTTCGGCGAATAATTATGTACTGTTTAATAAACGAGCAGGAGTGTTTTATTAGGTTTAAAGCCACGAGCGCGCAGCGCGAGTGGTTTTAGACCTAATAAAACGCGACCTGCGAGTTTATTAAACGGCTTCAAACACGACTACAAATTCAATAGATATACTGCCTTATTAGTATTCTTTATATAAAAAATACTAATGAGGACACGCTACAATAGATACTGCCTTATTAGTATTCTTTATATAAAGAATACTAATTAGGAGTGTTTTATCAGGTTTAAAGCCACTGCACGTGACATATTATGGTTGACATGATTTGCCAATAAGCTTATGAATTATTAATGAGTGTTTTATATATATATATATATATATATATATATATATATATATATATATATATATATATATATATATATATATATATATAGTACAATCTGCAGACATGCATGTTTCGGCGTTCAACGCCTCGTCAGTGCAGCTTGGTACACGTCCAGATACGTGAGACACTCGTATTTATGCCCCATGAACTTGCTCTCACCAAGGCATGTGGTACAACACGGTGACTCAACGCATCCAGACATGCGCAGAGCGTAATGGGGCCAGAGTGCTCAAACGACCACAAGGGAAGTGAGCTTTGCATTATCGCTAATAGACACCCATTAACAACTCCGCAGAGTGCTCAACAACACCGAAGTGAAGGATTGTACTATATATATATATATATATATATATATATATATATATATATATATATATATATATATATATATATATATATATATATATATATATATATATATATATATATGAATGTTGTGGTTTCCCACGTTTACGATTCCACTCGTGTAACGTTATGTAGAGGTTATATATATATATATATATATATATATATATATATATATATATATATATATATATATATATATATATATATATATATATATATATATATATATATATATATATATATATATATATATATATATATATATATATTGAAAATATGATAAAACAGTAGTCACATCTTGTTTTTAATTCTAGGAAATAACCAAAATATTAATCCGTCAACTTCTCCAAGTTACAACTCTACAAAAGGTTAGAACTAATTATTATGCATTCAAACTTAATATTTCTTGTCCTTGTTCATTGCATGGTCAGCATTTACCGGCATATTAGCGTTTATAGCTACCGTTGCAGAACTGTTTTGCTCCTTTTACGAACCATTTTGATATCCTGATATGCTTCTATTACTTTCTTTCTTTAGCCCGTACTCCTGAATCTAAAGAGCATGCCATGTCTGTTAACATACAGAGTGTTTCATTTATCAGGATGATCAGTTTATTTGGTTTAATGCTGCAAGTTATTATGTTCTAGTCTTTATCTGTGTGCTTGAGAATTTGTTGCATATGACTATAGATATATATAATATCATATCATCGTATCATATTTGCAGGCCTTAAAATTTGATGAGATGATGGATGTGGGACACATTTTTGTCGTATATATATATATATATATATATATATATATATATATATATATATATATATATATATATATATATATATATATATATATATATATATATATATATATATAGTACAATCTGCAGACATGCATATTTCGGCGTTCAACGCCTTGTCAGTGCAGCTTGGTACACGTCTAGATACGTGAGACACTCGTATATATATATATATATATACATATATAGATACATATATATATATATATATATATATATATATATATATATATATATATATATATATATATATATATATATATATATATATATATATATGTATATATACATATACATGAACTTAGAGTTATTTATCTAGATATATACCTCATCAAACTATTCATGAGGTATATATCTATAGTTAAATACCTCATGAATAGTTTAATGAGGTATTTATCTAGATAAATATCTGTTTTGAACTATTCGTGAGGTATTCAACTGGATATATACCTCCTCATGTGTGTATTGAGCAATTCAAATACAT